CTCACTTAAAGCTCTCAGCAAACCTCTAAGGAAGATTCTGACTTAGCCCCTCACGTTTCATCTTCTTTTTCTTTTTTGGTAGAGACGGGGGTCTCACTCCTGCTCAGGCTGGTCTCGAACTCCTGACCTCAAGCGATCTCCCGCCTCGGCCTCCCAGAGTGCCAGGGTCACAGGTTGAGCCACCGCGCCGGGCCGCCCCCTCGCGTTCCAGATACCGAAGCCAGGGCTCTGAGCCCGCTCGCTCGCTGTGTAGACGGAACCAGCAGTTGGAACCCGTTCGTTTAGCTGCGCCCTCGCTCGCTCTCCCACAGCGACCGACGGGGACAGATCTGGGAAGGAAATCTGCGCAGATACAATCCTCCTCCCCGCTTGGACCAGCAGACATTCCGAGATGAGAAATGGACGGGTGCTGCCGCCGCCGGCGCAGAGACCGGGTTGGAAAGTCGCCTCCGCGAGCCCAGGGCACAAATCCGCTTTGCGGAGCTTCCCCTGCCCGGCCCGGCCCCAGCCAAGGCCACGTCCCGCAGCTGTCGTGCTGTGCGCGGCGGGCGTGGCCTGGGGCTCCCGGGAGGGGAGGGCACTGGATGTCCTTGGGCGGAGAGGGGAGGTGACTCGGGCGAAGAGCAGGACGCAGAATGAGGGCCCTGAGGGTGAGGCCCCTGCGGACTGGGCTGGGCCGGGGCCCCTAGGACGGAAGCCGTCGCCCCAACACGACACTCCCTAACCGTCCCCACATCTGGGGACGTGGACCGCAGGCCCCACAGGGTTTGGGACTCCCTCCCCCACAATCCAAGCTGCTGAGACAGCCGGGGACCCCTAACGTGGCCCCAAGGCCCGGGTTTAAACCTCCTCCCTCCATCCAGACCTCCCTTAACATCTCGGGGCCTGGATAGTGGGACCCTCCCACCCCTACCCTTCCCGGGACTTCTTAGGCAGCCTGGACACTCTCGAGGGTCCTCCAATTCAGTCCAATTCAGTCCCGGGACCTGGTTTCCTCCCATTAATCCAGGAAACCCCGGCACCCCGCCGCCCCCCAAATCTCAGGCCTCGGACCTTTCCAGGACCCTCTAGATAAACTCCAGGCCAGACTCTCCAGGCGGAGCCTCTTTCTTTTGGCCATTTCTTCATAGAGCCCGCGTCCCACTCGCGCTGGCCAGGGATAGGACCGTCCCCCCGTCGAGGCCTCAGACAGCCGAGGTCCCCCAGCAGGACCCACCTCTAGAGCCCCCTCCAGGTGCCTCCAATACCCATGCACCTCCCACCCCCGCAGGTCTCCCAGGCGCTGGTCCGCTCCTTCAGCTCAACCGCCCGGAACCGCTTTGAGAACCGAGTGCGGGAGAAACAGAAGCTCTTCCAGGTAGGCAGAGCACGGGCGGGGCGAGGGGAGGCTCTCTGGGGCAGGTGGAGGATGCGCCCAAAGGAGCAGCCAGCACCCCTTTCTCATCGGACACCCCCCACACCCAGGAGGACAATGACCTCCCGGTGCACTTGAAGGGCGGAGCGACAGACAACCTCCTGTACCGGCTGACCATGGGGCTGTGTCTGGGCGGTGAGTGCGGGCTGGTGTCAGGGCTGGGGGTTGGGGGGAGGAGTGACTAGCGTCTGGGTTGGGGGTTGGCGCTTAGGGAGGGGGTTGCCTGCCAGGCACCCACACCCTGGGATGGGGTTTCTTACCTCTTGGATGTTCACGGGGATTTGTCCAGCGCCATCTTTGTCAAGAGATTTGAAGGTACCTGGAGCACCTGAGCTGGCCAGGTTTGGGGACCAGACTGGAGTGGGAGCTGGTGTCTCCGGAGGGGAGCTGGGCTAGTAAGGGGTGTGGGGCTCACCCAGGCAGGAGCTGGGGAGAAAGCTCCCAGCCTGGTCGAGGTCAATGCCAGGGGATTCCCCACGTGGAGTCCAGTTTGGGGAGGGAGCTGGAGCCGGAACTGGAACTAGGATCTAGGCTGGGGACTGGGGAGCTTGCAGAGGAGCTTAAAAGCCTAGGATGAGATTTAGGAAGGGATTAGGGTCTCATTCTGTATCCTCCACCTCCCCTGCCTAGGAACTGCCTACAGCTTGTACTGCCTTGGCTGGGCCTCCTTCCCTCACAATAAGTGAGAACGAGAAGCCTGAAGGACCTCAGGGACTTGGACAAGCATCAATAAACGCTGACCTCTGTATGCGTGTGCGTGTGTGCAACCCTTCAAGCCCATCCTCGCACCAGCCTGGGATCTCCACCCTGTGGACAGCCCATTGCCCCAGCCCTTGGTCCCTCATGCTGGACCAGGGCTACTCCTAGGATGTTGCTGCCTCTCAGCCCTCTGCTGAGGACCCCAACCAGCACCCCTGGGCTGCCCCTCAGGGCCTGGGGGCATGGGGTGGTGCCCTGGTGATACAGATGCTCTGTAAGTATGGGTGGCGGCCCCTTCCCCTGCAGGGGCTCAAGGACAGGAAGGAAGACTCTGCCCATGGTCCACAGAGGCAGAGGCAAGTGAGAGACTGACTCAAGGACCAGAGCTGCAAGGGAGGCAAACATGGCCTGGGGGACAGAGCCAGGGGTGGCACTGAGACCTCCCAGCAGCCCGAGCTCTGGGAGCAGAAGCCGAGATCACCTGGGCTCCTGGGTCTCAGCCCCAGCCCTACGGGATCTCAGCAAGAACGAGGCTACAGTTCAACTAAAATCCAGTATGAGAAAAAAAATGCAGACAAGAAAAGGACAAGGAGATAGGCAGATCCAGCCCTGGGGGGAGACCCGCTACCCTACCTTGAACTCCTCCCCAGGACCCAGAGTACCTCTTCCCCGGAGTCTGAGCCACCCCTCAACTCTCAGGACAGGAGGCAGATCCCATAGAGAGCAGCAGCCAGGGTGCATTTATTTCTCCTGGGCCTGGCGGCTGGGAGCAGAACACAAAGGCACTGGGCATGTGAGCCAGGAACGGCCTGGAGTTGGGTTACCTGGGTGGTAACCGTGCACGGTGTGCCAGGGTGTGTAGGGACTGGAGTGATGCTTCCAGAACTGAGAGCGGGCCCTCGGGGCACGGAAGCAACACGTGTTGGGCTTGGCACAGGTACGGGAGAGAGGTTATGGAGGGGGTGTGAGATGGGTGTGGTGGGGGTGGGGTGACCTTTAGGCAGGGCATGTTAGAGAGTCTCAGAGCCAGGAGTAACTCAGGGCATGGCATGTTGGGGCATGCCGCGCCCTGGATGTTGCCTGAGAAGCTGGGTGCCAAGGGCTCTGAGAACGAAAGGCCTGTGGGTCAGCAGGACCATGAAGATGTGACTGCAGGTAGATCAGCTATGGGGGAAACTGAGGCTCCAAGGTAACTCGTACAGCGAGGCGGTGAGGGGGCAGGTCTGGGGCTCCCGTTCAGGAATACATAGTCAGCTGCAGCCACTGGGGAGAGGAAGCCACAGAGAGTGAGGAGCAGGGAACCCCGGAATACCAGACCCTCTCTACCCTCACCCGGGGGTCGTTGGGCAAATAGGAGGGAGGCGGCTAAAGCTCAGAGCTGGTAAAAAGGCTGCAGGGTGGGGTCCCCCCCAGGCACCCACAACCCAGGATGGGGTTTCTTACCTCTTGGATGTTCACCTGGATTTGTCCAGTGCCATCTTTATCAAGAGATTTGAAGGCACCTGGGGGAGGAGAAGGGAAGGTTTGGGGCAGAAGGAGAGAGACTGGCTTTTAGGATAGTATTATACTAGTACATGACAATAACAGCCAGCACTTCACTGACCATTTACTCTGTGCCGAGCACTGTGTAACGTGCTTTCCTGTATTAACTTATTTTATCCAATTCTGAGATAAGTGTCATTTTAAAACAAGGCACACAGAAGTGAAGCGATGTGCCCCAGGTCACATTGCAAGAAAGAGAGGAAATTGGGACTGGAACCGAGGCTGTTACCTGCGTCGATAACGGGCGCCGTATACTGAGCACCCCCTCCCCACCCCACCTCTGCCCCCACCCAGCCTCCCGTGGGTATCTGTGCTCCATTCTCTCCCGTCCAACCCAAACAGGCTGCTGGAAGGAGGCTCTGCAAACCCCACTTGCTGCCCCTGGAGTCTGGTGTGGTCCCCACTCCTACCCTGAAACTCAGATCCATGTTCCCCACCCACAGCCAAAGCCAGGCAAAGAAGGGCCCCCACTGTCTGGCCTCCTCTCTCCCACTCACCGCTGCGTTACCGCCCTCAGCCATCCGCACACCTGTGTCCCACACGCTACATTCACTGCCGTTACTATCTGCCTTCTTGCTGGTGGATCCAGTGGCCATTTCTTGGGCCTTCTCACATACGACTTTTGGCATGGTCTGCCCTGTTGTCCACTCCCACCTTCCCGACATCTCACATATCTGCCTCTTTTCCTTAGCACGCTCTTAGTGCAAGCTCCTCCCTGGGCTCTTGGAATCTTCCAAACCTGACCCCGTCCCTCCCCTGCCTAGAATCTGCCATGGCTCTTCAATGCCCCTGGTAGAGTCTGAGCACCCCTGAACTTGGCATTCACAGCCCTGCATGGCCTGACCATGCCCACTGCTCCTGCCTCCTCTCACTCAACTCAGCCCAGACCTCAGACAGACCCAAGTTCAAATCCTAGCTTTGCAACCTCCTAGCTCAGTGGCTGTGAGCAAACAATTTTGCTGAACCCTAGGTTCCTCCTCCATAGAATGGAGACAGTAATTCCTACTACTCAGGGATGACTTCAGGACTCAGTACGTTAATGCTCCTAAAAGCCCTCATCATGATCTAGTCCCTACTGACCACTCCCCGCCTTGCGCTCCCCATCCCACTCGAGTTCGGCACTCTTTGAACTAAGAGTCCAACCAAAAGCACCATCTTCTCTTTCCCTTCTAGGCCTCTGCACAGGCTGTTCCCTTGGCCTGTAACACTACCCCCTACTCTCTCACTAGGTTCTCGCCTCTTCATTCCTCAGGTTGCAACTCAAATGCGCCTCTCCAAGGAGCCCTGCCTGAAGCCTTAGGCTGCACCAGTGCCTCCTAGGGTCGAGTAGCCCTCTGGGCTTCCCCAGGTACAATCTGAACACTCTGTCTGGGCTCCCCCATCAGAGCCCTGGGCCCCCTACCTGAGCCTGCCCCTCACAGCCCCAGTCCCTCTGCCTAGGCTTCCCCTATTCCAGCTGTAACCAGTCTGAGCTGCCACCATCTGGTGACCTGTCTCTCCGCCACTGGACTGTGAGCTCTCAGGGCAGAAACCGGGGCTGTTCTGGTCACTGCTGTACCTCTAGCACTGCCCCCCTCAAGCTCAGGCTTAGAGAAGACCTTGACCAATGGAAGCTGAACAAGTCCCCACCCGGAAAGACAGCTGGGTGTCACTCACGGAACATGGCATCCAGCCTGACCAAGCAGCTGATGAAGTTGTCAAAATCCATGCTGCCTGCCTCATCCGAGTAGCGCCGGATGATCATGTTGTAGAGATGCTCGTTCAGGTGGAACCCTGAGAAGGGTCAGTCCCTTAGGCATGGAGGCCACACAGCCCAAGTCACTCCCTCGGGGTTCAGGCTCCGAGTAGCTCAGTGGGGACTGCCTCATCAGGCCCACTCCCAGCCCCACCATGTCCCTGCCAGCCATACCTGCTGCCTGAAAGGCCCCTGGGAGTTCACTGCTGCAAATGGTCCCCGATTGGTCAACGTCAAACCGTTTGTATATGGCCTGTGGGGGCAGAGAGGACAGGGTCCAACTGAGCATCGTGGGGCATGGTATCTCCATGGCTAGGTGCTAGGGATTTCAGAGGTTGCTACGCACCTGCCACCTTTTGATGTTGTTCCACAGGTACTTGAATTCCTCAAAGCCCAGCTTGCCTGTGGTGTCGCTCTGGTGGGAGGGTGTTAAGAACAGTGTGACAGCAGCATCCAGATGCCTGCACCGTTTGTGCTATGCACGAAGATGGGACAGCAAGCAGGACCCAAGCTAAAACTCCAGCTTCCGTCCAACCCTGTCACCTGGCAAGTGGTCTTATTTTGCATTTTATCCATATGTTTCAGTTTATATTTCTATATAAGGACTCTCTTTACACATAACCATGGGGTATTATATTGCACTTCTCCAAACTACAAATTCCTCACCTGAAAAGACTTAATCCCTCATTTATAAAATTCTTGATAGGAATCCAATTTCATAAATGTTAGAACATGTAAAAAACAAGCGTGTCTTAAAATTCTATGAAGTAAGGTGATGGCAGGTCCCTGCTGTATTTGTGATAAAAACTGAATGAGATAATGGCATAAAGCACTTAGCTCAGGGCTTGGCATTTAATAAATTCTCAATAACAACAACGGCCAAGACTTGTCAAGTTACCAGACCCTGTGCTAAGGTCTTCAGGAATATCACTTTTCTTACTAAATCCTCAGGACACCAATCCTACCAGGATTATTCCCAGAGAAGGAAACAAATTCCAAGCTGGAAAAACCTACCTAAGATCATAGTAACAACTAACTTGTACAGGCCACTTACTGTGTGCCACACACTGTGCTAAACCTTCTGCGTGTAGCTCCAATTTGGTATCATCATTATCACTCACCTCATTTTACAGACAGGGAAACTGAGGCACAGACAGGTTCTCAGTAACCTGTCTTAAGGGGCAGAGTTGGGATTGCTTCACTCTATGCAGTGCACATGTGCTCACATGACATGTACATGTGTGTGTCTCTATTGTCCCATGTACTGAGTGTGCACATATCCAACATCAGCTAGTGGCTGGCCCACGTGTAAATATGCTTGTGTATTCCTGTGCACGTTCCTTCACATACCTGCATGTATGTGGGTATGCTCTTGAGTACATGTGTGTGTAAATGTGTGTATGGTGTTCTAAGCTTGGATTCTCAAGCCCAAAAGACCTGAGTCCAAATTCTTAGCCTGCCACTTACTTACTTATTGATAACTTCAGACAAACGACTGATTCTCTGTGAGCCTCAGTTTCTTCACCTGTAACATGGACTATGATAATAATGCCTGTCCAACAGGGTGCCTGTGAAAGTTCAGTCAGTTAATGTAAGCAAAGTGCCAGCTGTGACAGCTGCTGGTGGTATTATTTATTGCCATGTCTGTAGGTGAGTGCGTGTTCTGATGTATGCATATCCATGTGTGGGCGTATGAAGGTGTATGAAGGCGTATGAAGGCATCCTGGCTAGCCGAAACATACTCTCAAAAAACTCCCTCTCCACCCAGG